TGTCTTGAATGTATAGTTGTTACAGACAGCCTACCCACAATTAACAAAATGAAAATTGCACCAATTACATTACAATATTTTTTAACTTTAAACATTTTTATAATTTTAATTATAATAATTGAATATGGAAAATTATTTATTTAATTTTTGCTATTATTTTTATAATTATTACAATTTTAAAATATTAATTAGTAATCTATATTTAGTGTTGCCATTATTATATTTATAACCATAAAGAAAAATATAAAATATAGTATTAATTATTTAAGCCATATAATTGTTCTATGTGTAATTTAAAAAGTTAAAATTAATTAAGGATAATAATTTTAATTTAGTTTGCTGTTATTTAAAAACAACTTACTAAGCAACACTATTAATATATACTTTTACAAATGAAAAATGAAAAATATTAATCTGATAAGCTGTCATTTTGATCTACACAGTATGAACTTACTACATCTGCCTGTCTGTTATGTATGGTAGTATCCAGCCATCTTCCCTATTGAAATTAGGATGTTTTTTAATTTCTATGGCTTCTCGAATCATTCTAGGGCGATATCGGAAACGTCGGGAAACAAAAATGCAAATAAATCCGCGACAAAATCCGAAAAGATAGTTTTATTTAAAATATAATATGTTGTTAAATGTCTTCTCTTCAATTTTATAGTTATCTAGTAACTTATCCTGGCTTCGCGCAGGCGCATACTTAATAGTACTAATAACCTATGTGTTACGCCAGGTCAAAGTCTCTCTATCTACTAGATGTCATCGAAATCTGTCCAGCTAATTGAGCGTTAAAGAGTAACAAACATAATAACGTTAAAGATTATAAATCCTTAAATGTTTTTATATAGTTAGTATGGAATAGCTAGACCATATACTTTACTAGCATTGCCCGCGGTTTCGCCCGCGTTCAGATGACCAAAAACCAAATTCTTAGGTTTTACATACTAGTATACTCTTATAATGCAGTTTTTGTATTTTTTCTCAGAAAGGAGATATTTTCCCGCGGTAAAAAGTATCCTATATGTTGACCCGGATAACCAGCTATCATCATACCAAATTTTTATCAAATGCTGTCCTGTGGTGTTCTCGTGATGCGGTAACAGATAGACAGACAGACAGACAAAAATTCTAAAAACTATAGATTCGGACTCTGTATCGATAATAATGTCTATTTCAATAAGATTTTCCAAAAAATATTTAATGTACAGATTCGACTTAGTTACAATTTTATTATATGTATAGATGATATATGGCCTATAGCTTTCTTTAATAAACGGGCTATCTAATACAAAAAGAATTTTTCAATTCGGATAAGTAGTTTCTGAGATTAGCGCGTTCAAACAAATAAACTTACTACAATAATTGCATTTACTTTATGTACATTATGCCACAATAGTGTATTTTGGGATTTTCAGATACGTACTACGAGTGCCTTCTTGTGATCATAAACGTGTTATTGATATTATAAATATGAAGGTTTTTGTTTGAACACACATCTCTCTAGAAGTTTCAGTCCGAATCATAATATTATTTTGGCATTTTAAAGTCTGTGAATGCCTACCAGTATACTATTTACTTTCTTAGATATACGCGATTATTTGACGTTTTAAATAAAACTATTTTTTCGGATTATTTCGCGGATTTATTTTGATTTTTGATTCCCGATGCGACATTTCGAATGCTTTACAGCAATCATGGTCACGGGAGAGACTAAGATTTTAGATGTCTCAAAGGCGTTATATTCTTGTTACAGACAGGCTTAAATAAACAGTTCAGTAACATTTTATCCGCTAACAAATTAGCTTATGGCATATAGGACACAGGTGGTTAAAAGCATAGTATTTTGTATTTTTACTCGTAGTTAGGGCCTTAACGAAAGGAGGGCGCGTCACTAGTAATAGATATATTAGATACTAAGGTACTTTATTTCTCCACTATCTGATTATAACTAAAAAAGTAGTGTATACAGAGGTATATTACATACGTATATTAGCTTTTCTGGTAACTAAATATGTAATCAAGTCTTGGAAATTGATTCAAACCAACCATTCTATTTATTTGAAACTTTTTAGAATATGTATGTATGAATTAAGTTCTTTTTACGTCCCACTTCTGGGCACAGGCCTCACTTGAACACGAAGGGGATAAGGGAGGGGATCAGGTTGTAGTCCACCACGCTGGCCAAATTTCTTTTCTTATCTGGTTGGCGGACTTTACATGTCTTTTAATGCATCCATGCATACTTACAGGTAGGACTCACTTAGTACTATCCATAAAACCCCATCGGAATCGTCCCCGTCTTAATGAGGTATCGCAGGAACGTTTACGCACTCAACTATCCTGACAGCTGGCCTGCCATGTACGTCTTCTCTGCTATCAGAGAAGTAGCAGGAGCAACTCGAAGGCTACACCTTCCACCTCCTAAGTATACTTCTTGGCTCATGCCTGGCACAAGATGAATACACATAGGGGGGACGATGTTTGAATACCTCACACTACCATTAACTAACTTAAAATTTTCTTTTCCTTTGATGATAATAAATATATAAATATGAAACATTGCAAACTCTGTGTATTCCAAACTGATATCATAACATGTGGTGCCTACCATACAAAGTGTTTCGCTACGACTAAATTACAAGTGTCAAGCGCAATGCTCTGCCTATGACATAATCGCATTCCCTCAACTAATTTCATGTTAATGAAAGTTGTTAATAAATAATTTTCAAAGTAGTACTCCATTATGTTAGAAACTGCACCATTTCGCTGTGTTGGTAGACTAACGTATGGTAGGTACTACTGTTGGCATTACATTACCGCTATAAATAAATATAAATAATATGTTGGGACACTAGTTCTATGGTAAGCTACGAGGCTTGTGTTATGGATTCCAGATAGTTGATATATATATATATATATATATATATATATATATATATATATATATATATATATATATATATATATATATATATATCGGGAGAGTCTCTCCCGTGACCATGGATGCTGTAAAGCATTCGAAACGTCGGGAAACAAAAATACAAATAAATCCGCGACAAAATCCGAAAAGATAGTTTTATTTAAAATGTCAAATATTCGCGTAAATCTAAGAAAGTATAAAGCTATATCTTTCTAACCTACCTAGTATATAAGAAATTTACTTTAAACTAAATTAAACGAATTTCAGATATCCTTAAGGATGACGTAGTAACCTATTTAGAAATGATGTAACGAAACCGACAAAAAACCGTAATTTTGCTTACCATTTAAAGTTAGTCTAAAATTACGCGAGATGTACAATTTCATCTACAATTATTTGGAAAGCTTAAAATGGGACATGACAGAGAGGTATCTCTGTTGTGTCTTTTTTATTCTACGTGACATTGCCAAAGTAAATTGAAAAGCCATAAAACAAAGAATTTAATTTAAAACAGTTCCGCCCACTGATGCCCATCTAAATGCGTATGCATCTTGCATTTGAATGAAGGACAAACCGGAGTTTACATAAGTTTGGGAAAGGTTTTTGATCAATTATGTACAAATAATGTTTGAATTATTTCATCTAAATTTGATTTGATAGTTAATAAGGTACAAGTAATAAATAAAAAATATAAAAAATTCCCGACCATCTTGCACCGATTTTCATCAAACATAGCTAAGAACACTCCCGACTTTCACCTTTCAAACAAAAAAAACGAAATCAAACTTGGTTCATTCGTTCGGGAGCTATTCTACAGACGGACACACACTGACACGTCAAACTTATAACACCCCGTCGTTTTTGCGTCGGGGGCTAAAAAGGAATGTTTGCATGTTTTATTCCTTTGACGTTGACTATATACATAATACAGGATGTTACGAGAGTAATTCAGCTCAATATATATTCCCTACTAATATTTAAATGCAAATTGTCATTACGTCTGTCTATCCAGTTTTCGTATAGAATGGATAAAGTTGAAACTTTAACTTCGTATTTAATAATTACATAATAAATAATGTTCTTTTTAATAAGATTAATAAAGCACGCGTATCGGTGTTTCTGTAATAATTAAGTATCCCACAGAAGAAGGAAGAGGTGGTAAAATATGTATGGGAAATACAATTTTGGAAAATTGAAAAAAAAAGAAGGCTATACTTGAAAGTTTTATTTCTCGGGCAGGAAATGAACAACAAATAATAAATTAATAAAAGCTTTGTTAAATTCGGTGATTTTTGAAGAAAACCTTGTTTGAGATATGTACGGTTTTACTAAAAAATCTTTGAGCTTGACAAGTGATAAATGACTAGGAAGTGTTCGTTGTCTACTTGAACTCGCAAGTGTCGGCGACCATTTTTTAATCTTAGGCACGTTTCTTCAACGTCTTGGCTTGATTAAATTTGTTTTAGTTTTATTTTTTAGATTACACGGAGTCGATGAGACAAGCGTTTTAGTGAAGTTTTATAAACATTACATATTTTTATTAAAAATACTAGGTACGTTTTAAATAGATATAAATAGTTATTAGCCAGCGTTAGCCATATGGGTTTTAATTTTTTTTTCGTTAATTTTTCATTTTTTCTCTTTATTAAAACCTTCCGTGGACCTTAAGGAACATACGAAAAAAAAATTAGCCGAAATGGTCCAGCCATTCTTGAGTTATGCGCCTACCAACATTCATTTTTATTTATATAGAAGATTATTTTGCTCACTAATTTAGATATTCTGTTAAGTTATTTTATATGTTAGTTATTAAGTTTAATTCTTGTTACAATATTTAATTCGATTTTTACGCAGTCAGTTTATAAAAATATTGAACGAACTGCTTGGACACGAACCATTTTTTCGTCAACACTCGATAGTCTAATTGACGTGACGGTGCTGAACTATATTGTAGAAGAAATATTATTATCAATATATCAAAATAAAAAATACTTAGTCATGTTTCCTTTATATGTGAAATATAAGTGAAAAATATTTAAAATCTCATTTTTTTTCAGGTTAAGTGGCTGTCACGATGGGCGACAACAATCCGGCCGTCGGCAATGGGAGTTCTGGGCATGACACAGTACGTTAACTTTTTGACACACGAGGTCTTTAAATAATATACTTCTAACAACCTTCAAATGTTATAACATGGTGTAAAATTAAATCTATACTAATATTGTAAAGAGGTAAAGTTTGTAAGATTGTGAGTTTGTGATGCTGTAGAGGATAATCTCTGGATCTACTGAACCGATTTAGATGAAATTTGGTAAGAAAGTAGTTTGAGACCCTGGGAAGGACATAGGATACTTTTAGTTTCATCCCGGAAATCATCCCTTAAGGAGGTAAAAATGGGGATGAAAGTTTGTATGGGGAATCAGGCTAGAGATGAACCCGAGCAAAGCGAGGGTGAGAGGCTAGTATAGTATTTTCTATAAATAATTCCTTTGTGGTTAGCATGTTTCTGTTGACCCGAAGGTGTTGTGTTTGAGTTCCAAGTTTCAAGAGTCAGACCAAGTATAATTGAGTTTTTATGTTAAGACTCAGTAGTCAGTATTCAGTAGCAGGTTGCTGTTGGGAAGTTGGTGGAGTTGCACTCACGTGTCTCGGAGAACATGTTAAGCCGTTGATTCTACGCCTAATCTATTATCGCAAGCGTTAAATTGTCTTCCTACTGGAGTCTGATAGTGAAAGGAATAAAAAGAGCACTTGTGTTTGCGTACACTCATGTATTATAAAATCTTCTGCACAGTTGGCTAATCTTAAGACTGATTGGTAGCATTTTGCCGAAGACAAAACAACAATAGATCTTTCTATTAGGGTTTTCACCTATCGTTTGTAGTATGTTAGGGGACCTTCTTTAACATATACAATTTGTAAAGTAGATAATTAATTAAGCAAGGGCAAGAAAAACTTTTTTTTTATATGTTGCCCCGAGTCGCTCAGTTGTGTAACCGTAAACTTTATTTCGATAAGTCATATGTATTCATATTCAGCCCTTTTCCACGTCCCCCTGCTGGTCACAGGCCTCACTTCAATACGATGGGGATCAGGCAATAGTCCACCACGCTGGCAAAGTATGGGTAGGCGGTCTTCATGTCTTTCGAAAACTTGCTAGGTTTACTCAGACTTGCAGGTTACCTCACGATGTTTTTCTTCACCATTTTTTTGTATCAGAGGAGCGAGACACGTGATTTGAACCTGCTTTACTCGGTTTCCGAATCAAGCACGTTACTACTGGGCTACCAATCTATACTAATATTATAAAGTGGAAAGATTTCATTTTTGTTTGTTTGTACTAATAGGCTCCGAAGCTACTGAACCGATTTAGATGAAACTTGGTAAGAATATTGTTTGGGACCCTAGGAAGGACATAAAATAGTTTTTATCTCGGAAATCATCTCTTAAGGAGTTTAAAATGGGGATGTAATTTTGTATGGGGAATTAAATTAGGGGCAAACCCGAGCGACGCGAGGGTGAGTTGCTAGTACCTTATAAGTCAAATAAATTTAAATAAAACTATCTATGTAAATTTTCCGAAATCCGAAAAGATGGTTTTATTTAAAATGTCAAATATTCTATTTTTAATAAAGTAAATTTATATTTAAATAAAATTTCCTTAATTTTCCTAATGCGTATGGGTTTAATATTTGAGTAAGCCTTAACAATCTAATGGACATCTCCATACAATAACTCAAAACTTCAAATTTCTTCTTGTACCAACTAGTTAACTGAATGTAAGTATAATTGAAAATGATTACGCTAATATACTTAATTTCTAATTTGATGTTGACAGTGATCTATGTTATAAAGTTGCCTCGCCTGATTACTCATCTGTACCAAGCAATTATTTATAATAATTTGAAATTAAGTCATTATGCTGAAATTACACGATATTTCTATAACGTCATACGTAGGTACCAATCATAAAAAAATAAACCGACTTTTTAAAAACAATACAAAAAGGAAAAAATAACTGAAAGGGGGTTTTCATTTACTATACATACCTAATCAGATATTTTCGAAGTCAGTGCCAGCCGATGCAAAGCAAAGCAAATCTATTTCGATACGTAATACATCACAAATTGATGTATAATATTATAACTCATACCTTTGACGGAACTCATTACTTCCTTTTTTTGAAGTCGGTTAAAAAGAATTCTATAATTTTAATTTCACTTATAAGTTAAAAGAAAGCGGCGACAATGTTTGTACAGAAAGCAATAGGTTAAATTAAGATAAATCGCTTGTTTTTCTATACATATAATAAAATTCTAACTAAGCCGAATCTGTACATTAAATATTTTTTGGAAAATCTTAATAATATAGACATTATTTTCTATACATAAGCCGAATTAATAAGTTTTTACATTTTTTGTCTGTCTGTCTGTCTGTTACCGCATCACGGAAAAACCACTGGAGGGATTTTGATGAAATTTGGTATGATGATAGCTGGTTATCCGGGTCAACATATAGGATACTAGAAAATAATATTCTGAGAAAAAATACAAAAACTGCAATGTAAGAGTAGGTATACTAATATGTAAAACCTTAGAATTTGGTTTTTGGTCATCTGAACACGGGCGGAGCCGCGGGCAATGCTAGTTATGTATAAAAAGATAACATGAAATGACTTAGAGCCTAATATACGTGAGTAGGTATATACTAGTGATGTAACGAATGTTCGATTTTTCACATTCGCGATTGCAAATGCGAATATTCATATCTAATATTCGCGAATACGAATGGGAATGTTAACTTTCGAATAAATTTTTGTGATTTGAGGTAAGTTTAGTATTATTGCATTTGTAAAATTTAACTAATACCAAAACTTGAATAAAGCACAGTATTATCATTCCATAACCGTTCATTCAAAAATTTAAAAAAATGGCACTAAAGTACCTTACAATATTTTAACTTTTAACTTTAAACATTTTTATATAATTTTAATTAGCTTTACAATTGAATATGGAATATTATTTATTTAATTTGAACTGTTATTATTATAATTAATATAATTTAAAAATATTAATTAGTAATCTATATTTAGTGTTGCCATTATTATATTTATAACCATAAAGAAAAATATAAAATATAGTATTAATTATTTAAGCCATATAATTGTTCTATGTGTAATTTAAAAAGTTAAAATTAATTAAGGATAATAGTTTTAATTTAGTTTGCTATTATTTAAAAAGAAACGTCGGGAACCAAAAATCAAAATAAATCCGCGAAATAATCCGAAAAGATAGTTTTATTTAAAATGCGAAGTGAAATCGAGTCACTTTACAAAAAATCAGCGGCAAAACAAAATATATCAGAATGAATTGTGAAGACGTTTAAGCATTACGTTCCGAATTTGTAAAAGAAAAGCGACGGAGTTCATGGCATTGTTTACATTGGCAAGTGTTTGTGTTGTACCACCTAGTCCCCTTCACCCCGATACTGTTACAAACTATGGGTAATAGTTTAAGAGGTGCCCTATTTACTTCCAATACAGTAGACATAGTGTTGTAATAACGAATTATCTGAATATATATTTAAATCGATTTAATGACGGATTTCAAAGTCGGAAGTTCTCAATTTTGGTGTATATTTTGTTTGTTGATATGTATTTTACACGATATATTCATAAATCGTGTAAAATACATATTTACAGAAAATTTGATGTGAATCGATTTTTTTATGAATAAAACATTAACATTCAGGTATATTTTCGAGAAAATTTTCGACCGTTGCGGGTGATGCAATAAGTTTTAAGTTAATTTTAATATCGATGTAACTTTTTTAAAAAATTTTTTTCTAATTAGTTTTTTTATAATTAAAAAGAAAATGATTGATTTATTGATTAGAAATTTGAAATTTATTGAAAGGAATTTATTGATTAGAGTTAGAAATATTAGGTATAGACTTAAGTTATAAGCCACACACTATTATTAAGATGTTCACATTTCATATTATAAGGGGTCTCTATATAGTATTTGCGGTTGTTATAATAATTGAATCACATATGGAAGGAAGGATGAAAATGATATTTATATGTTTAAAATTATGATGCTATTTATTGATAAACATTGTAAAATTAATTTTCTTATCAAAAATTTTAAACCTACACTAATAATAAATCTGGAGAGGTTGTTTGTATTTTTGTTTGAAAGCGCTAATCTCTAGAACTACCAGTCAATTCTAAAAAAAAAACTTGCATTTGATAGTCTTAATTCATTTTTCAACGATTATAGGCTATCGAACTGATGTTCGACTACAACTTTTAGGATCGAAACAGTAATACCTACATAAATTGACTACTTGAGCGAAGCCGCGGTATAAGTTACTATTAAATAAACGTAATTAACAAACTTAAACAGTGTTATGATGATATTAAATGAAAAATAAAAGAAAAAGAAAAAAAACTTAGAATCTGAAAGTTTGGAGGTTTTTTATAACATTAATCTTACAAAAATTATAAATGTGAAAGTTCAGATGGATGTTTGGATGCTTGGATGTTTGTTGCTCAATCACGCCAGAACGGCTGAACGGATCTGGATGAAATTTGGCACAGAGATAGACTATAATCTGGAATACTTTTTATCTATCTATGGCATAAATTTATTTGTTTTTCTAGAGGCGAACCCGAGCGAAATAGGGTTTAGCCGCTAGTATTTCAAAATTCACTGCCCTAAGAGAGTGTAACAAAAATTTGTTGTAACAAAAAAGAAACAAATTAAAACTGTACGGCATCATTTCTATTAAGCTGATGACTGTATATTTATCTTTTTTCTTTTATACTTTACGGTGAGGCCATCGTAAGGCGTGAACCCGACGCTTATTGCTCTCTTTGTAAAATAATGTTTAATCACTCGGAAATTTTCCCCTTTTTCCATTAAGACTTAGGGGAGCTTTGTTTTTTAAAATCAATTAATTTGAATTAAACATTTTATAATACATTTTTCACGTTCAAAAGTTAATAAGTGATTTAAGAACTTTATAAGAAAGATTCAGCTATCGTAAAAATTTTGAACATGTTCAAGTTTGCTGAGACATATATGTATATTGTATATGTATGTGTATCACCATAAGAACTTC